AGCAAATAGATAAAAAAAAAAAATGCGTTCCAACCAAATGTCCGTGATAGCGCCTTATCGATTAGGCTTCAAAAAAAAAATCTAGCAAGCAGATTTTATTGAAATTAATCATATAGCTAGATTCTTCATTGTTTTATTTTACTTTCACTCCCTATTGTTTGTTTACATTTAGTAGTAGTAGTAGTATTAGTAGTAATTTTAGTAGTAGATATCATTATCTTAAATTGTCCATTTTTTTTTAATGAATCACAAGGAATATTATTTGGTTTAATATTTTCTTTTCAGTCAGAAAAAAGACAGAATCTTTTGTGACTTACGAAGAAGAAGGTTTTGGAAAATTCGACACGCACAGGACACAGTAAAGAATTTGAATTCTTTCTCACCAGGCCACGTGAATTGAATCTGCACATTTTCATTTTTCTCATGTTTCATTGGCGAAGAAGAATTTCCACGCAGACAGCTCCTTCCCCAGAACAGCAGTTACATTGTTGACCAAATTTCCTGCTTCTGCGATTACTACAATGATGATGATGATGATGATGATCTTGTCTCTGGTATCTTAAAATGAGAACAGTAGAGAGAGGGAGAGAGATTAATAGAGAGTAATTGAGAGTACACGAGTAAACAACATTCTTCTAACTACAACTCGGTCGGTGAACGTAGAAATAGTATTTATTCGTCTCCTCGCGAGCGAGAGTTCAGCATAATGTCGGATTTAACGTACGGCGTCGAACGCGTAGAAAAAGGAAAGGCCACTCATTTCAAATTAAGAAGGTCGTAACAATTTTTATAGTTATCAATGCCTGGGTAACAATTAACAGTGTTGTAAACACTGACTCAAACTCTTCACCAATCATCTTGACATTTTTCATGTCTTAATTATAAATAAAATTATTACGCCCATTGTCAAATTTGACAATGAACCTACTTATAAATCAAATACTAAAGAACGGGTGTGGTAGGTAAGTTGGCAGTCTGCTTCCAATTGCCATTATTAGTCGGTGGTTAGTTTTATGTCAGGTTACTCTACGAGTGCTACTGGTAACATATAACTCAATACTACCGACTGCAGTGTCTGGTCGTCGGCGTCTAAACTACTTCACCCACCAAACATTTACGGTGAGGAAAATGGGTAGGTATCCAAGGACGGATGAAACTTCTGGTAGGATTATCTAGCACAATGGGATAGAATGGGTTCTGTCACTATGTATGCAGCTAGTGTGTTGATGACACACCGTTATTGGTTGAAGGGTTTTCTAGTCTGAAGTCAATAGTCAGAGTAAAGGGTTCCCCAACCCGACATAATCAACGGCCACGTGTAGGTGACCAAGGTGAGCCAAGTTGCATGGCATCGGCTGTGGTATGATCTATTTGCCTAAGATAAGCTACGTATGAATTAATGCCTCTCTGGCTTTCAACCTAAATATGTTGAGGAGACTGGTGGTGAAGGTGAAGATTAACGTGATGGTGGTGTTGCCAAGGTAAAAGACACGACATTCGAAATTTTAAAAAGATAGACTTCCTTAGTTGGAAGATTGTAACACAAACAGTCTACATATCATTTCACTTTATTTGATTATATACCAAACGCCATTAAATCTAATAGATATTGATAAACTACATTATTTGATAGTTTTAAATAGTAAAATAGCACAAGTCTCCCAAGGACAATCCACATCACTTCTGAACGACAAAACAGCATTATTTAAATATCCTATTTAATGTTAACATATTATTCTAAATTATCTGTAAAAAATAATATCAATTAATACAACCATATCATTTTTGAGTCTGATACAAACGAAACTCATGTCTACGTTTTTGAGTCAGATAAGAACGAAACTCATGTCTAAGTTTTTGAGTCTAATATGAACAAAACTCATGTCTACGTTTTTGAGTCTGACACGAACGAAACTCATATCTACGTTTTTGAGTCTAATATGAACGAAACTCATGTCTACGTTTTTGAGTCTGACACGAACGAAACTCATGTCTACATTTTTGAGTCAGATAAGAACGAAACTCATGTCTACGTTTTTGAGTCTGATAAAAACGAAACATATCTACGTTTTTGAGTCTAATATGAACGAAACACATGTCTACGTTTTTGAGTCAGATATGAATGAGACTCATGTCTACGTTTTTTAAGTCTGATATGAACGAAACTCATATCTACGTTTTTGAGTCAGATAAGAAGGAAACTCATGTCTAAGTTTTTGAGTCAGATATGAACGACACTCATGTCTACATTTTTGAGTCTGATACAAACGACACTTATATTTACGTTTTTGAGTCTAATATGAACGAAACACATGTATACGTTGGTGAGTTTGATATGAACGAAACTCATGTCTACGTTTTTGAGTCAGATATGAACAAAACTCATGTTTACGTTTTTGAGTCTGATACAAACGAAACTCATATCTACGTTTTTGAGTCTAATATATACGAAACACATGTCTACGCTTTTGAATCTGATACGAACGAAACTCATGTCTACGTTTTTGAGTCTGATGTGAACGAAACTCATGTCTACATTTTGATTCTGATACAAGCGAAACTCATATCTACGTTTTTGAATCTGATACAAACGAAACAATGTCTACGTTTTTGAGTCTGATACGAACGAGACTTATGTCTACGTTTTTGAGTCTGTTATGAACGAAACATGTCTACGTTTTTTAGTCTGATATGAACGAAACTCATATCTACGTTTTTGAGTCTGACACGAACGAAACTCATGAAACAATAGATAACTAAAACTGTAAGTTATATCAGCTATTGTGTCAGACAATATAACAATAGACTGTCCAACTGCTAAATATGCTCTTTCTTAATGGCATAATTCATCATTTTTATCGAATGTCGAATTGTGTTGTTTAGATAAGCAATGGTAGATACAGATTTCTTTTATACTAAACTCAAAAACATAAACATGGATTTGGTTTGTAGGAGAACCAAAAAAGATTATGTGAATATTGTTCGAAAATAATTGTTAGAAAACAATTATTCGAAAAACATTTATTCCAATTGTAAATTGATTGAAAGAAAATTAATCGAAAGGACATTTATACTAAATGATAATTATTCCAAATGCAAAATTCTTTATTGCAATAAAAATGTAAAAATTAGAAGAGGAAATAAAGAAATGATAATTATTTGAAATAAAAATATCGTTAACAAAACAATTTAGTAAGAAAAAATCCTTATAACCCTAACTTTTATGATAATGCACGCAAATAGTCAACTACTGAAGAGTACTCGTTAAAGAAAGTCCCTAATTTTTTATGTTTCCAACTTACGCCGCGGTATTTCTTGGAGCTCTTCATATTTTGGCAACCAGCTCTTACTTTAACAATATGAATTTCTTTCAAGTCCTGTCCTCTTTTAAGAGCGTCTAAGAATTTTTTAATTGGAGGATGATGGATGACACTTGTTGCAAAAAAAGCCCTATGTCAAAATTTAAGGGCGTTATTACTTTTACGTAAATCAGCACTGACACACTCATACGTATTTCAAACGCAGGAATTTCGAATAAATATAATTTAGTATAATTGTTCTTTAGAATAATTTTCATTTAAACAATTTACAATTCGAATAAATGTTTTTCGAAAATGATTGTTTCGAATAAATTTTTTTGAACAATAATTTTCGAACAGTTTTGTTATTACGATTAAAAACGTAGATCTGGGTTTGGTTTGTACAAGAATCAAAGACGTAGACACGAGTTTGTTGTGCATGGGACTCAAAAACGTAGACGTGGGTTTATAAAGGAATCAAAAACGTAGAAATACGTTTTCTTTGTATGCGACTCAAAACGTTAGACACGAGTTTCGTTTGTATTAGACACAAAAACGTAGACATGAGTTTCATTTGTAACAAACTCAAAAACCTAGATATAAGTTTCGTTTGTATCAGGCTCAAAAATGTAGACATGAGTATCATTTGTAACAAACTCAAAAACCTAGATATAAGTTTCGTTTTTATCAGGCTCAAAAACGTAGATATTAGTTTCGTTTCTATCAGACTCAAAAACATAGACATGAATTTCGTTTGTTTCAAACTCCAAAACCTAGACATAAGTTTTGTTTGTATCAGACTCAAAAATATAGACATGAGTTTCGTTTGTATCAAACTCAAAAACCTAGACATGAGTTTCGTTTGTATCAGACTCAAAAACGTAGATATGACTTTCGCTTGTATCAGACTCAAAAACTTATACATTAGTTTCGCTTGTATCAGGATCAAAACCTATTCATGAGTTTCGTTTGTATCAGACTCAAATACGTAGACATGCGTTTCGTTTGTATCAGACTCAAAAACGTAGACATGAATTTTCTTCGTATCAGACTCAAAACGTAGACATGAGTTTCGTTTGTTTCAGACTCAAGATGTAGACATGCGTTTCGTTTGTATCAGACTAAAAAACGTAGACATGAGTTTGTTTTGTACAAGAATCTAAAACGTAAGCTTGGGTTTGGTTCGTATTGGAGAATAAAGCTAATTTCCTCAGGTGTATATCAATGATATGAAAGCATATATGATTTCATGGAATTAATTTACCAAAATTCACTTACTGTTATCGACTTTTCTTGTTTAATGAATTTCTTCACACAACCTTTTTTTTTTTGGTAGTGTGAAAAATCAACACTCTGATTATATCATTATTTTACCTGCTGATGACACCTGTAATCCATTCTTTGTTGCAGCTCTTTGAAATATTCAAATGATGTCTTTTTTGTCATTTGGGAGGCTCTTTATGAGATTGAGTGATAATAGTTTTATGGCTTATCAACCTTTTACAGGTTATTTAAAGCCAGAACATATTTTTGGAATGTAATTATTTACTGTTATGAGTTCTACTATTTAACTCATAGCTGGGGAGAGTAGAGGTGGATTTATACCTTTTTAAATGCGTGTAATTGAATATGAAGAACCCAACTAGAATTAGAACTCAGCTCTCCGATTGCCTCAATCCTTACACCACCCGCACTCCCAAGCTTACAGCACTTGGTATTCTCAAGCTATCAACCATCTAAGTATTAACCAGGCTCGACGTTGCTTAACTCCGTTGATCAGACGAGAATCGGCGTTTAAACGTGATATGGCGGCACCCCGGCTTTACTTGTGAGCAAATAACGCCATTTTCTAGAGTCTGCTGAAGAAATGTTTTTATACCTGAAGGTATTCATTCGTTTGACCCATTTTAAATCACTGATCCGAGGAAACTGTTGTGTACCTCAAATAATTCAGATATTTGTGAACGAGTTGAACACTGTCCCTGCTATCTATATGGGAGTATAGATCTGACGAGGCTCAACATGTTCATTATATCTTTATTTACTCTTCTTGTAACAAGTGCTATCCATTTTCTTGCAGTTAGATTTTTCAATGATTTTTTTTGCTATTTGGTACAGATCTCTCTGTTTGTAATTTTGTAGCGCCAGCATCATAACGTCTGAACAGGGATTTTCATTATGACCAAAAGGATTCATTCGTTTGAAGCCATTTTTAATCATTGATCTGAGAAAAATCTTTTTAAATAGCTAACAGTTTAGATAGTTCTGAACGTGTTGGATTGTCACGCATAACATCAGTATGTGAGTTTAGATCTGTGCCTATTTTGTTGAGTTTTTTTAATCGCCAGTTGATTCTATAACCTCAGTTTTAGTGAGAAAATCTGTCCACTGCACTGTTGAAATGGTGCAGAGAAGACCCTGATGGTAACGCTCGAATACTAGTAGAGAAATCACTAAGATTGTACTAAGTAACAGAGAGGATGTCAGGTAGGAGATAGAGCTTTCTAGTCTGACGTGGAATTAGAGGCAAAGATCTTTGCAAAGAGCTTTTCATTATCCAATGAAGTTGAGATAATCTCAGCGCCATGACTATATATGACCCAAGATTCGGTTAACAATTATGTTAAACATAAAATCGATATGAGGAATATTTCACATGTGAAAAAAGTTGATTATATTTTTTATGGTATACGGTTGTCTTCTCATTCCATATCTGCTTGTCAAAACCCTTTTGGGGGAATTGTCCTGACTAAAATATAGGATTGGTTTGCAATTTACAATGTATAGCCTAAAAATAAGTAGATGTTGAATGAACATCACGCGATGTCTCTTTGTCGAGAACAAAAGCAATTGTATTAAAATAAAAAACGCACATCCGAAAAAAAGAGATAATTTTTTATTTCAATTTTTTCCCTTTTTGTAAAAATGATATAACGAAATTAAATATAAAGACGTAAATGCGCTGTGGATTCATTTTCTTGCTTTTGTAAAATCTGTAAACGGGACATAAAAAATCAACCTTTTAAGGAAGACATCTTAATATTTCAGCCACATTAACCATTTCTGTCTGTTTTTTCTTTCATCTTGTTTTTGTTGTTTATTATATCAACGCTCAGATTGCTTTTACCACTAAGCCAGCCAAATAAATATGAAATTAAAAATAAACCCTTACGATAAAAAGCAACGAAAATAATATGAAAGAAAATCTAGTCAAAATAATTAATAATGATACTGCTTCCTGCAGGAAATAAGGACAACTTGAAACTATTATGTGTATGCTATTACAAGGCGTAATTAACCAATGCAGCTTGGGTTATAAATAAAATAAGGTTGCTGTAATGACTAAATTTTAATAACGTTTGCTGACTAACCTACGTGATCTAATCGATAGCTCACTTAGACATACTTTCATAGATAAGGGATGTAAGTTTAAATTTCGTTGGCGGCTTTTTATTTGTTCAGCTCTTTCTATATTGCTTACGTTGTAAAAACAGCTTGAGAGCTGCAACAAAAATAAAACGAAAGAAAAGTTAGTCAAAAATGAATCATGAAAAGGTTTGACATAAAAACTTCGAACAATTATTTGGCTAATAGCTTAAGAGCCGCCCTGTCAGGCGGCATTTAAGCTAACTTCTAAATTGATAGTAAAGTTGAAAAGTGTGATACACTGACATTCGCATTTATTTATATAGATTAATTCATTTAAACCCCCAAAATAAAGGATTAAGATTGCTAAGTAATTACATTAAACAAGAAAAAGAAATCTTTATAAATATTATTTTTAGTCAGGCTAATATCCTCATCGTTGTTGTTATTGTCACAACGTTTCAGTTTCTGTAACTACCGGTTTTCTTCAGATGTTTTTTGATTAACGAAACCATAACTTAATGATTGGCCCTTCGGCGTACTCAGAAGTTTGAGAGTTCCTAAGTCTTTGCATGTTTTGCAGCATTGTAAGCTCTACTGGCTGCCGTTTAATCTGAGTTTTCATTTGCGCGTCACTTTCTTTTCCTTGCTGCAGGCTTAGCTCTTTTGATTTGCAATCTGGTCTTCTGTTGGCGGAGATTTTATCGCGAGGCATACTGCTGCCGTATGCGATAGACAACAATAAACTACAAAAGAACTCAAAATTGATCCCTGCATTTAAGCATTGCATTAATATTTAAGCTTACTTTTTTGTCCTCAAAGATACTTGACACAATGGATAAAGGCGTTAGTTAGATCCAGTGACAGGACCCAAAGAGTGTGAGTTCAATACCCCGTTAAGGCAGTGGAGAATATTCAGAGGGGAATTAACAAGAGATAACTGATAACTGGCATCCATTAAACATGACAAGTGGAACTAGAATAGTCTACCCCAGTGAGCAAAATAAAGGGTTCAGTTCAACATTCCAACCACCTGAAGAAGGCCGGAGCGTACAACGGCCGAAACGTTGTAATAAATATGACAACAAAGATGAAGACAATAATCCGAATAATGTAAATAATGTACTTTTTAAAAGTTCAACCAGAATTCTTCTACCGCCACTTGATTTAAAGACAATTTGATATACGTAGGTCCTTACTTTCCGTACAATTATTTTGATTTTATGAGGAACTTTCGCTAGATTTCGCAATTAATTTCAATTATTCACATATTTATTTCCAACTTATAGATATTTCACTGGAATTCGCAATTGATTTCAATTATTCCCAAATTTATTTACAACTTATAGATATTGTTATTGTACAAAAAAAAAATTCTTCGTAAAAAATAACATAAAAAATCACTGAAAACAATCGCAGTAATGAAAACTTGGGAATTCAAAATTTCAAGATTGCAGGTTCGAATCTAGCCCGGAATGTTTTTGAATTTGCTCATGGAGTTGGATTGATTCCAAAATGGTACGATATGTTGGTTTACAGCTTCTCATATTAAAGTTGAAAAGTGTGATACACTGACATTCGCATTTATTTATATAGATTAATTCATTTAAACCCCCAAAATAAAGGATTAAGATTGCTAAGTAATTACATTAAACAAGAAAAAGAAATCTTTATAAATATTATTTTTAGTCAGACTAATATCCTCATCGTTGTTGTTATTGTCACAACGTTTCAGCTTCTGTAACTACCGGTCTTCTTCAGATGTTTTTTTGATTAACCATCACTTAATTTTTATCTGAACCCTTTGATTAATTTTCGAGAATAGATTGTTCTCGTTCCGATGTCTATGATTTTTGTGGGGTGGGGGTGGTCATACTCAGTTATTACTAGTTATGTTTGAGTCTGTACAACCCGGTCCAGGATTTGAACTCACAATTAATATGCCATCAACGTTTCACGAACCAATGTTTTAATACCCTCTTGTGAGACAATCCGGAATCTATAACTTTGAGCCTTACTCTGACGATAAATAATGAAAATAATGATAACTGCTCATCTTCAAAGATTTATTCAGACAGCTTTTCTTTGTGAGTTCTACAATCTAAACCAGTTGAAACGTTTCTGTTTTTACTTTTCCGATGACCATTCCGGTGACATTAGCTCTCAACTTTGTATCTACGCTGATGACACAACCATTTACTCTTGTCTCAGTAGTAAGGCTGATCAGTCCGACAAGGTCAAAATGGCTGCCGATATGCAAAATGACTTCAGGTCCGTTGTTAACTGGGACAAAAGATAGCTAAACTCCTCGACAGTCAAACCTCACTATGAAACTGACTCGTTACACCTTCTCGGACTAATGTTCTCAGCTGACATGAAGTAGAAAGACTATATTGAATCCATTGCAAGGTCAGCTGCTAAGTTAATTCACTGTGTCGTGCTTGACTATTTTTCTCTCCAGAATTTATCTTACATATCTATAAGTCTACCATTTATCCATACTGCTGCCACATATGGTCCGCTGCCCTTGCTATTTATTTTGAGCTCTTTGATAAAATGCAAAGAAGAATCAGCAATATTATCTGTTATGATCTGGCATCTCGGCTTCAGTCACTTTCCCATCACCGTAAGCTTGCTGCATTGTGTTTTTTTCTGTAAATAATGTCATGGTAACTGTTCTAATGAGCTTTTCTCTAAGGTACCTAGATTTTTTAATTTAAGCCCAGTACTAAACTGGCGTCGAGATCTCATCAATTTACAGTTGAGTTGGCTAGATGTAACCGTAAGTACTATGTTAACAGTTTCCTTTCCTGCACTCCTCGCGTGTGGAACTCCCTTCCAGCTCCATGCTTTCCAGCCAACTTTATTTTACAAAAATTTAAATGCAAAGTTAGTCGCTATATACTGTCCTCCTGATTACTCTATTTTCTTCCGGCTCATTATTAAAGTTTCTGTTCCTAATTCTTCCACGCCCAGTAACTCCTTGTGCCTTAGAGGCTTTTCAGTCCTGTATGGGGTGAAAGTGATTTAAAAAAAAAAAAAGAAGAAGAGTAACTCAAGATATAGGATTACTGAATGATGTTATGGACGTCACCGGAAAAAGTAAGTGCTGATTATGAGGATGTGTAATTGACTCTAAACTTTAGAGGTGAAGATTGTTGTGACAGGGGACGCACACTCTCGGAAGTCTGTTCCACAAAGTAGCAATTCTAGGGAATATATTGTCTTAATGGAACGTCCTCCTTACTAATGGAATACGAAGGAAATGAGGATGTGTAAGGGGCATGACGGGTTCTCACTGTAATGATATGAACTAGGGAAACGAAGGATTACAGCTCTTCTGAACATTTGCAATGGAAATAGCGATAGTGTAGCGATAAACTTACAACGTTTCGTCTGTAGGAAAGAGTCTGAAAATAATTAAATCGCCCGCATAAACTGTCTGCA